GTCAAAAAATAATCCAGACGAGACGCAGCATTACCTCTTCGGGAAGTATACCTATACTGTGCTGGGTTTAGTTTACGGTAAACATCAATAAGTGATAAGGAGTTAATAAATGTATACATGTCACGCAAGAGGGATGTTTAGATCACCTCCAATTATTAAATTACAGTTTGGAAAGCTATAATCAATTAAACCTCTTACAGTGGCTAAGAATTCAATTTGTTCATTTTCCTTATTGGGTACATATAGATTTGCTATGACTAAAACCAGATCATTAATTTCCACTTCAACAAAAATATACCTCCCATCATTATCCACCAGCTTGTTTCTAATAGTAACATTTATATTCTTATTAAAAAATATTGCTACCCCACAACTATTTTGTGTGCCATGTGAATAAATGACACTGCCACCCCACTCCCTCTTCCACACACTCTCCGAATTAGAACAACTATGAGTTTCTTGAACCAAAAGAATGTCACCCCTTTGCTGTCTAAAAAATCTAAAAACAGCTTTTCGTTTACTATACGAATGTCTCATCCCCTAACATTAAAACTAAAATATTTTAAATAAAGCCATAATAAATTATACCAAAAACAATTATTGGCACTCAAATATTACTGACAAAATACAAAATATCTAATAGTAATAATGCTGCAGCTCCGTGAATCATAATTCACATCCCAATAAAACACTCAGTGCCATATTATTGTATCAACAACCCCAACTACAAGTATGATACCAGTTAAAAATTGTACACTTAATCAGATAATACATTCAACATGAGAAAGAAACTGAAAATTAATTACCACTGACTTAGTCATTAAGCAAAAAGTTATATTGCCAGTCTGGCACAGCCCTAAAAAAGTGACCATAAACAATTTGCTAAATAAATCATATATAATACATAATTCATTAATACTCAACAGTTTTTTCCTTACCTCATGTCGGATATATAGCTATAACTAGTTTGTCTGGAGTCACTTACATTTAATAATACATCCAACCTGGGAAAGAAACTGTCTAGTAATTACCACTTATTTAGTCATAATTGATAAATAAATCATATATAAAGACATAACTCAATAAAACTCAACATTTTTTTTCCTTACCCAGTGTCAGATTTATAACTTTACACCACATCATCTTTTATTAGGCAAATACTGCTTTCCATCAATGTACAAAACACCCCTTCGAAAAATAGGTCGTTTCCCATCATCGTAAGCACATATTATTATACATCTGTCACCGTAACGTAATAAGTTACAGCGTGTCTTAATTTTGCGGTATTTTACGGGGTATTTTCATCTTACCATATAAAGAAATGCGAATTCTAAATATGGAATAATTACAGATAACATATTTCATATTTAGTTGTAGTTCACTGTACGGTCAAAGGAACCACGAGATTTCATAATAAATATCACAAAGAATTTTGATATTATTTATAAAATTATTTATAATTTTGCTGTAGTTGGACAAGTCATAAAGAAATGTTCTTGCTGTTACAGTTCATGCAGAATCTTTCGCTTGAAGGTGTCTTAGGTATAATGTAGCTTCCTCGTTTTATGGCAAAGTTGTGGTTCCTGATTCTAAATTTGTCTGTCTTTACTTTTCATGTATGTAATATAATTCCTAATATAATCTTTTCAACCATTTTTAGAGTGTAAATATTTGATAGTCATTGTCAAAATATGATGGCATTTGTGTTCATTTCTATTAAAACAATCTCTCAGGAATGGTTGGCCTTAATGCATGGCAGTTATAGGTTGGAAGTGATCGTACCAGGCTGCTGATAAGTGATAACTTTATTTATTATTATGCAATTTTTCTGTTGTCTGCAATTGTACATTTTGCAGTGTTGGTAGCAGTGGTCCAATACGGATAATTGTCTCCACTTCATACATCCAAATAGTGAAATGATTTTATGAACTGAGTTAAATCATGGAATCACCAGTTTTTATTTTTATTTTTTATCATTGTGTCTTTTTCTACATAATGATATTCACGTCAAATTCATTAAATATATTAAGTAGAATAAGGCTGTTTAGAATTTTGTGTAGATGTAGTTTACTATTAACATATGAAATTACTTTACGTAAGTAATTTATATATTTACTTCAAAGTTGTTTTTTAACATTATATGTTGTTTGCCGATATGTCTCCCAGAATAAACTCGAGTGAATGTTCTTAAGAATTGTTTTATAAGCAACAGTGACTCCTTCGATACCTTCCAATCACCTAAAAAATATCTAATAAAAGCTTGGAAACATCTCAGTTTGATCTGCGCAACAGTCAAAGTCGCCATGTTTGTTTATATGAGACCATATATCTTGCGCATGCGTGGCGTGACGACTACCGCCCTTTAAATTCGACAAAAGAAGGAATAAAGTTTGCCTTCCACGTGTTTATAACGTTTTGCGAACAGCCGCGTCGTGTTCTTTCCGATCAGATTCAAGTCCACCTCAAGAATATATACAAACATAACAACATTATGCATAACATAAACAAATTTGCATCACCCCGTTTGCTGTCGCCACAAGCACACATTCACACTAAGCTTATCAACATACATGTTAACGATCTATCATCAGTACATCACAGACAGCATCAAGGCAATAATAAACGCATAACGTTCATCATTGTATGATTAATGGACACAGTCATTGAGGCATGCAACTATGCTCCAGTTATTGTGGTCCGAGGGGAATCGGGCGTTTGTATATGTGTTTGTATTGTAGCATATGTCACAAATTAAATGTATATTACTTACACCAGTGTGAGTGCAAAATGACTTATCATGGCATTGTGTGAGCGTGTACGTATGTATAACACATACTGCATGGTTGATTGGGTACATATCTACCTATGGACTGTAAGTCATCCAAAGTATCTGCAATTTTTTCGTGAAATAGCGAGTATTTTGATATATTACAGTCCAGAGGGTAGACGTGTACCAGGGTCTTAATAAGCCCATGCAATATGTGTACAATATCAGTACAAATATAAAGCACAATGTCCTACATAGATAAGATGATTTTATTAAATATATGCAATCAAAATTGCAGCCTGGCACACGTAATCAAACAAATGTAATATCTGCTTGGCGATAAATGTACAGAGTGTCATAATCCGTTGTGATTTGTACGCTTGAATTATGATGTACAGTCTGTTATTAATACAACCATGGGACTAGTGCGATATATACGGGCGGTACTGTTGTCGTCATTATTGGCAATAATTGCAATATCTCACAGGTATAGTAAGAATGCATCTTTAGGCGAAAAGTTCACATATCTAGTGCCTTCAACTCTTTACAACGAGATGCTAACTCAGCCAGCACCTGCGGTCATGCTGGTTGCCAGTTACAAGGGAGGTTCCACATTTTGCGGTGAACTCTTTAACCAGAATCCGAATATATGTTACTTTTTCGAACCATTGTATGACACATCAGATAAGCCGACGTGGAATTCGAGTATCAAAGCTACGTCAACTCTAAAAGAGCTGTATAACTGTATGTTTGTAGATCACTACTTGAATATGATCCATAACTTTCCTTTAGCCAAATCGAGAAGCAATTGTTTCAAAAACATTTGTAAGACTGGACTTTGCTGTAGAAAAACTAATAGGTCAGAGCTTGTGCAAGGTTGTGGTAAATATAACTACAAAGCAATAAAAGTATTACGCCTGCAATCGCTAGAGGTGTTAAAACCATTGGTATTGGAAGAAAAAATTGATTTGAAGATTATTCACCTGATCCGTGATCCAAGGGGAATTGCTTGCTCGAGAACGTGTAAAGGTTTCTGGGACGTTCAGCGACGTGAAATAATAGAGATTCAAGGCGACCTACTGAAGGAGATTGCCAATGAATGTAAGAATATGCATAATATGGTATCATATGCCAAAAGTCTTCCAGCGTGGTTAGATCGTCACTACAAAATTGTTAGATTTGAGGACTTGGCTATTGATCCAATAGGAGTTGCAGAAGAGATTTACAGATTCATTGGTATTGATTTACCAGTTGAAGTGACGTCATGGATACAAGCAAAAACTAAACACGAAGAATATGGCGAAGGGCGTTTGAACAGAAGTCGTAATTCAACAGCGACTGCCGATTCATGGAGACATGTGCTAACTTTCTCTGAAGTGAATTTAATTCAAAATGTGTGCACTGATATAATTAATGACATGCATTATAAAATGTTGAGTTCAGAGAACCAGTTACAAGACATACATAACCATGTATTTTAAATAACCTATATATTATTACACGTTTTGACCTTCACAAAATCCATAATGGATGGTGCATATAGTCCACGATTAACAAGAAAATATCTAAACAAAATAGTTTTAATCAAAACTAAGGACAGAAACATAATAGTAAAGATAAATAAATAACAATACAAATTAACCAATAAAATGTCTAAAACAATATTAAATTTAAATTCAATCACATAACAAAACTTGTATTACGCTGACTTTTCTTTGATTACGTAATTTCCGTGCGATCAACTGTTATAACGTGTAACATTTGTAACCATCGAACAAACATTGCACTCAGAGCAAAGTAATTCCCATTAGCAAATTTCATTCTGAAGGTTTTATGGGCGAGAATGAACCTCACATTATAAGTTTTCAGCTCAAGATGGACAAATATTCTGACGGAAAAGGAAACTAACATCAGATAGGATCTCGCCTACTTTGATTACATGTGTCATATCAATTGTTCACCTTAATATTCAAGTAAAGCCGACAATTGTTATTGTATTCCCGTCCTTAAAACCAACGTTCCCATGTAACTCTATGCACATTATATTCAGTATGTTGTGTATAGAGATAGTAATATTCAATGCAAGACGTGATGTAGCGAAATAAATCATCGTACACCGCATTGTCATGGCAATTATCAGCACTATATATCTCTTGGTAAGTGTAGCAGTTCACATATTTAAATAAGTCGACTGTCTAGTGTTGGAAACTATTTGGGAAACTATTCAGATTTTTAGTATTTCCCTGACCCTCCATATTGTATATTTAGCAATAATAACTTTACACCACGTTGTAATTTCAACTACTATCCTCAGAACTGCTATCCAATTCAACTCTAACTCTGTCACCATATTTTCTAGGTTTTGCCCACTCTTGCTCTTCCGTCTTAATAGTTGCCAGGACAACTGTTCCACCGACGAAGTAGAAACCAGCAGCAATGAGGAATATAATCAACCACGAATCGGCTGTGGTCTGAAATATGGGAATATGTGATCGTATGTCTGTCATAGATACTTTTGATATTTACCCAAGCCGTTGATTCGTAAATGATTAAATTAAAGATAAATTAGAACATAACATAAAACAAGATGTGATACTTACACCTCTATTTTGTAATATAATTCCGTTTACGTAGGGTGCCACAAACCCTGGTATCGTAGCTGCGGTGTTAGTAATCCCGTACAAAACACCGGCAAACCTGGGTGCTATTTCTACATGGTTTACTTTAAAGCCTGGGTAGGATACTGAGGCAAACGAGTTTGCCAGGACAAGAAACGACACAGCCATGGCTCGATTACATCCGACGTAAGAGTTTGATACTAGAAAAAATGCAGGAAAATACATCCCTGAAACAAACAAAACTAGAATATGAGAAATAATTACAAACAAGCCGGTAGGCTGGTTGGCGATCCCCTCCGCTCACAAAACAAGCAACATGTTTTCGGCTGTTGCCATGGTAGGACATGAACGTAAACATCAGTTTATAACTAAAACGGGGCCCCGTATTCACTTTATTCCTAGCTGTTATAATTATTATTTTCGACCGTTTTGGATTCTTGTATTATTTGATTTAACGCAGCATTTACTATTCATTCAAATTTGCGTTGGGATTACGTTGATACATTGTAACAACGTCGGCGCCGATGATCACAGGTCAGTGCGCAACTTAGCTAAAATAAAAAGCATGATCATTTCAACAATGATAGTACAAGACCGGAAGGAGGTAACACATTTGGGGCGAAAGTATTAAAAAATCAGTTTTTTGGCTGTTGCCGTGGCAACAGTGGGCCAGGATTTTGTTTAGATTTTACCACCCAACTAGAGTGACAGTATGACCTACCTGCCAAGAATGAATAAAATCAGCCCAGTCATAAAAATCACAGAGAAGTTAAAAGCCGTTCCTGGTAAACCCAAAATTTTGTCGGTAATGAAAAGAGATATAAAAAAATAAAATTTTAACTTTGTACCCCACACTCAAGCTGAGTAGAATCTCAGATATGTTTAATCCTAAATTTGTAATTAAGAAATTAATACGCGAAGACACTGGAAATCAAACACGCACACACACACACGCACGCACACACATACACACACACACACACACACACACACACACACACGCACACACACACACAAGTGGTTTAAAGAGAAATCCCAGCGGAGCGGACGCCAACAAAATACGTAACGAGTAGAATGACAACACATTCTAGTCTACAGAAGGACAATCGTCCGACACGTTTAGGTATTTTGAAGGACTGCGAATGCCTACTATTATCCTTTATATAGTATTTTATCGGTTCACTGGCAAGTAGAAGTCTCCATTTTACAAATAATTAAGATGCATTGAGGTCACTCACCGAAAACTGTAAATAATCGTCTGACAGCTTTAGTTGTCATAATTTTCCTACTTCGTAATTCATCTGCTATATAAGCACCGACTACGGTGAAGACCCAAGACCCAGCGTACGGTAGTGCAGATATGACGCCATTCTAGAATGTGTAAAACAAATAAACACTTGACAAGTGATAAGCTGTGTTCCCCAATGGTATCTAAAGTGATGTGTAGTGTTTTGGATGAGGCGTCGTGATTGACTCTGTGTTGCACGTATCTATTACCATCGCAAAAAATACCAACTAATTGTTATTGTCAACAAGTATGCACACAGGTACCGCCGTATTAAGACATCTTCTGAGTAGTTTGAGTACTTAGATGTAGATTTGTTTTAATCACATAAAAGAGACATCGTGCATATATTTAATCAGAATCGGGTACATAACAATGTTTGCCTGCCTGCAAACAGCAAGGTATGTGTAGTGTTTTTTCCATGTATGGTTTACGCATGGTGAATACCTTGGTATTGTGTATTGCATAGGTGTGAACCATCCATTCCATCTGACAAACAAACAAACGTACTAAAATATAGTGTTCTCAATTATAGTAAACACTTCTTCTAATGTGTTTTAATAAAAAACAATAATCGATGTAAAACGTTCTGGTGTCTTAACATGTCATTTATACATGTTATATGTGTTCTGTTCCGTAGCTACTGAAGTGTGTCACGTGATACTGTACAAGCGTCTACAACCAAGAATTGACAAATAATGACACATACCGCACTCAGATCAAAGGCCAATACTTGGGAGTTGAATGATGGGAGTCCCGTCATCAGGGTGTACAAACCCCAGTTACTGAATGTATGACCAATAACCAACCCCCAGACAGGGATGGATGTAAATATCGCCTTCCATGGTATTCGAGTATCCTGAAACAACGAACGCCACACAGACTTGTTATCAACTATTCTGGCGTAACGTAAACTAATACATTTACATTGGCAGAGAAATACACTGTATTTCACGCCATCTAGTGGCGAAATACTTTATCCTCGTTATCGTTTTGTTTTTATCTGTGGTTTACGAGATTACTGCCAATATTCGATTACAATTGATTACCATGTCCACAGCGCTAGGACCAATGGAATTGATGATGTAATCTTTCTCCCGTTTTGTTATCCTGGGATGTTTTGATGGAGTATCGTGTATTATTAGAAACCAGCATACCGACCATATCAAACATAGGCCCCCTATAGAATAGATTGGAGATAATGTTACATCATTAGATTTACACTGTGCAGTGCGGTGATTAGCGTCCTAAACTAGTTTTCAATTGCGACTGGCATGGTTCAGACTGGAGCATGCGCAATCGTCACTACTTCTGATTATCTATTTAAAAACACTGATAAATGTATGTTTAATTCTCTCATATGCACTTTTTATGACATTATATTATTCAACAGTAATTATTTTTGCTGTGTAATTGTTCCGAAAATATCTGTTTAATGATTATAGTAAAGAGTATGTGAGTACGTTACCTGAGAGATAGAAAACAGACGGCCATCCATAAGCTGCCGATAACACTCCAGCAAGTGAGTTAATTGCCACAGTACCTATTGTAGTGCCTGATTAAACAAAATAAAATAAATAACTTGTGTTTATTTGTTGATAACCTATGTTTTCGCCATTTAGGTTAACGGGCAAAGAGCCGAATTTCTGACACAGAAACTCTGGTTCCTGATGCGTACTGCTGACCTGACAGTAATGAGTTAATTATCCAAAAGGTGACCAGGAACCAAAAGCAACAGGTGATTGGGCCAATAACGTATTGAATCGGCGTGACTTCATTTCTAAGTACACACTGTGTTCTGATTATATCCTAACCGTAACATATTATGCAAGTCTTGTATGTGATGTAGGTGTTTCACTGTGTTTCACTTACTAGTATATATACATGTAGTATACTATAGAATGCAACTACGCGCACACAGGTACACTCGTGTAACAACCACGAACATACTCACATATCTTACTGGCACTGACCTGACGTATCAAAAGAAAGAAGTTTACTTCTCTCCAGAGGGGGCGCCCATTTACCCCACATCCCGTGGTGAGTTGGATAGACAACAGCCTATATTAAAATATAAGACATGTCACGTGACAAAGTGGTTATTTGTAATAAAGATTAAAAATACAATTAATAAACAAACATTTTTATTTATTTATTTATTTATTTATTTATTTATTTATTTATTTATTTATTTATTTATTTATTTATTTATTTATTTATTTATTTATTTATTTATTTATTTATTTATTTATTTATTTATTTATTTA